CCGCCGCCGCCATCTTCTCGGGCGCCCCGCGGCACCGGGCTCCTCCGGAGGCTCGAGGGGAAGCGGAGCGAGATCGCGGGAGGAGGCCCGGGCGGGGCCAGGAGGGCAGAGGCCGGAGCGAGGGCCCAGCCGCGGGAGAGGGAGGGAGGGAGGCGGCGTCGCAGCCACCAGCCGGCGGGGCCAGGGCGGCGGGCGGGGAGAGGAAACCTGAGGCGCCGAGGAGGAGCCCGAGCACCACCTCGCGGGAACCTCCCCTCGGGCCCCAGCCCCCGCGCACAGGCGCGCGCCCCACCACCGCCCGCGGGGGCCCCGGCGTGCCACCCGGACACCTGTGCCGCGCGCGCGAGGCCCCCTCTCCACTAGGCTGGAGCGAATTCCGGGGCTGCTCGGCCACGGGGTCCCCAGCTCCACGTGACACCTCAGGGCTGCTAGCTCCCCTCAAAACTCCCGCGCTGTGACCTCTTGGGGGGCTGCAGGGTAAGCTGGGCTTCTCAGACCTGGGAAGGAAGGAAGGCTGTAGACAAAAACCTCTCTGTTGTGAATTGTGCACATTTGAAGAAATTTGATGTTACACTGAAAAATAAGCGATGAGATCCTCTTGGAAGTTAAAAGGATATTCTGGAGGACCACTTACAGTTTCAGTACAATCTGATCACAGTATAGGAAAAGCCTGGGCCCTTTACTCAACCTTCTGTCAAAGGGTAGGATGCAAAACTTGATTGGTTGTGTATGCAACATATAAAACAATGTTTAACCAAAGACTACAACGGAAAAGGATTACTGCAAAGGGCTAGAGGATATTTGGAATATTACTTCAACTGATTTTAGGGGAAATTTATATTATAGAACTACATTGTAGAAGTTTTTCAAAATGATGTTACCATGTCAAGCTATCTGCCAGTCTGTTACCATCAACAAAGTTGAACTTTAAAATTAAGTGGGTAACCTGAAAATACTCTTGGGGAAAAAAAACTAATTTAACATCAATATGCCTCTTAATAAGAGATAACATATTTTAAATAAGTGCAACCAAGATATTAAAAAACAATTTAAAGTACAGCTTGTTCAGAAATTACAATGTACCCTTGCATATGTTTGCTTACTGTACATACATTTCATTCACCTTTAGCAATAATTAAATAGGTAATCCTGCTTGCAAGGATTGGCCATTCACTTCTGAAATAGCAGGCCTCTGAAAACCCTATGCACAACAGAACACACGCAGACTAACAGAAAGGGCAACCTAGGTAGAACTATCAAGTATGG